CCCACGTCGAGTCCCACCAGGTCTGCGACACCGTCGGGCACGCCCACGACGTCGACCACCAGATCGCCGTCCCCCTCGCGCTCGGTGGCGGCCTCCACCAGATCGCCTTCGTCCTCTCCGCCGCCGCCGAGACGCCCGTCGGCGCTGACAGTGCGCATGCCGTCATCGGGGCTCAACGTCACGTTCACCCACGGCGCGCCCGACCGCGATTTGGTCAGCGTTCAGGCGCCGTCAGGGGCCGGCGGCGGCGGCGGCGGGGTGCAGTGCGTGGGCAACGTGGTGACGGGCATCTCGCGCCTGGTCAACTTTGCCTACTTTGTGCGCATGAGCGCCGCTGGCACGCAGGCAACGACGGCGGCGGCCTACGTGGTGGACATGACCGCCGGCCGCGTCCTGGCGCAGTGCGACGTGACCCTGCCGTCGAGCGCGAGCGCCAGCTTCACCCAAGTGACCACCAACTTCACATCGTCATCCTCTGGCGGTTGGCCCTCGCTGGTGCCGACCAAGTCCTATTGGCTGCCCTTCTGCTTTGCCACGTCGGCATCGACCAAGCGCAGCATCGGCAGCTTCAGCCTCGGCGGCGGCGGCAACGCGAGCAGCACCGTGGGCGACTGCTCGGGCGGCCCCTCGTGTGAGCCCACCACCGGGTCGACCCTGACTGGCGGCAGCCTCGCCACCACCCTGTCCAACATCGCCGGCAACACGGAGAGCAGCGCCGGCAGTGGCGGCGGCTCGGTGGTGGGCATCGCCGCGGGAGTGACGGTGGGCGTGGCGGTGGTCATCGTGGCGGCCGTCGTGTGCGCAGCGATCTTCCTCGTGCGGCGGGCTAGGCGTCTGCCGCCGGCGATGCCACGACGCTCAGTGCTAAGAGCTGACTTCAACAACAGCGACGCCAACGCGACGCCGATGTTTGACATGTCAGCGTCGAGCAGCCGAGTGGCGCTGAAGCAGATGAACGATCTCTACGCGCCTGACGTGCATGGCTTTGGCGGCGCGTAGGAGAGGGAGTGGCTTCATTTCCTAACCCTAACCAGTACTTTAACATAAAAGTGTTTCAGTTTCTGTGAAACGTCCATTATCACGAGTGGTGCGTTGTGTTGTGTCGCTGGGATGGGAGCCATTTTGTCAGTGGTATCTCTCCTCAGACATAAAAGGGGTGGCCACACTCCTCCAAGCAACAGCAGACCGAAAAGATGGACCCCTGTATTATTCTTCTCACCAGCTAACCACACTGGCTTGAACAGCTTGGTTGTGGCTTGGTTTGGCAACTGACACTAGTGCTGGACTGGTAGTCTGGAAGGTGGTGTTGTGTGTGTGCATGGTAGACAAGAGTAAAGTCCTTGTGGTCTCTCTCCAATGCAGAACCTTGTCAATCTCTCATCCAATGCTGCACCACCACAGGCATTGTGCTGCAAAGTAACCTGCTTTAGCTATCCATGCTAATCAGAGCACAACTTCAGGTTGCTGCTGAACTGCTCCCTGCAGAAGAATCTGCTCATCACCTCCCCTGCTCTAAGGAATACATGGGATGATGAAGAGATATGAGCACAGAAAGACATACTTGATGATCTGGCCCCTGCCACTCTCCACCAGCAATGGATGCACCCATCCACACATGGTGTGGATGTTTGGAATTGCACCATGTTCAGTATGTTCCTCCCCATGTGCACTGACTATGGACTGTTGATCTAATTGGCCATCTTTCCAACAGAGTGACACTGCAGTGTGACCCTTACAGGCGTTCATCACCTTCTGCACTCCATTGTGGATGGCAGCTTCCTCACCACCAAGCCATTCATTGTTTGATTCCTGGAAGAGGACAAGAGAATGGATAGGCCAAATGAGAAGGAGTTTGGTACATGTCCCCATCAAATTGTTTTGCATGTAACACTTCCATCATCTCATCAGCCACCTCTGCAGAGGCTGTCAACTGCAACCACAGGGTCATTGTTTGGTCTCTTCTAGAGCACTGGACCTGGGACAATGTATATGAAGTGCCTCCAATGGTCAGCAACATGAAGCTCAACTGGATCATCCTCAACTGCATCTCTGGGTTTGACATCAGTCCCAATGGCATCAGGCAGAAGTGCTTT